CATCAGCTCGCTCCTCCGCCTCCTCCAGTTCATGTTGCGCTTTCCGAAACTTAGCCAAATGGATGCTGCTTTGTTCCTCCTGTGTTTCAGAGAGCCACAGTAAAGACGAGTTTTGTCTACATAACACGCCTGCATTTCTCACAGTGTTTAAGGATTTTCTCTCACCGCCTCCTCGCACTGCCGCTTATATGCTTTCACTTTGAGCTGCAGCTTGTTGACCAGATCCTGCAGCCTCGCCGAGTTCTTCTTCTCCTCCTCGCCCTGAAATCAAACAGAAGTGCTTCTCTCACATCTCTTTGAACATTTTCTCTCCTTCTCTGAGCAGCTTGTGAAATTTGCTTTGTTACGTAACAGACTTGTTACCTGATAAGTGAGCTCTTTAATCCTCCTTTCATATTTCCTCACACCTTTTGCGGCCTCTCCACTGCGTTTCTGTTCTGCCTCCAACTCATTTTCCAGCTCACGGACCTTAATAGAAATATATTTAGTTTAGATTTGTGCCTTAATTTCTCGGCACGTGTCCTTGCACTCTGTCAGATCGTACTTTGGCTTCCAGCTTCTGAATCTCCTTCTTCCCTCCTTTAAGTGCCACCTGCTCGGCCTCATCCAGACGCTGCTGCAGGTCTTTCACCGTGGCCTCCAGGTTCTTTTTCATCCTCTCCAAGTGAGCGCTGGTGTCCTGCTCCTTCTTCAGCTCCTCCGCCATCATGGCAGCCTGCATGCAAATGTGAACTGTGAAATTTTAATCCAGCCTCAAAGTCCAGCAGCCCTTATTCAAGTGACAGCGTAGTTAATTGATTTGAGGAGGAGACTGACATCTGTGATGGCTTTCTTGGCCTTGTCGTCTGCGCTCCTCGCCTCCTGCGCGGTCTCCTCCGTCTCCGACTGCAGCTGAGCCAAATCAGCTTCCACTTTCCTCTTAGAGTTCACGAGACTGGTGTTCTGGTCATTAAACAACATTGAAATATGACATTGAAAGAAGTCTTTGGGTCCCTTACATTAGTGAAAGTGTCAAAATTAAAGACAGAAACGAAGAGAAAAGTAGCTGAAAATCTGAACTTTAACGCATCATCTGTAAAACACGGAGGAGGGAGTTCAATCCATAATTTCCTGAATCAAACTGCCGATGTTTCGTGTGACACAGCGCTGATATAAAACCAGATTTTATTGGGCAGTTGGTTTAAATAAAGCTTATTTTCAACTATTTTATTCACATAAAGACTGAAAATAAAAGTTATTTTTACAATTGATTAAGTCCAGTTCTCTGAAAATCCCTCAAATCATCTAGACTTAAGATTTCATAAATAAAGAGCCATATATTTTGTCATTATCTTCTCAGGTGTGAAAACCAAACACACAATATTCAGAAGCTGTGCATAGACTAACAAATGGACTCACCTGAGAGTGCAGCAGCTGAACGCGCTCGCTGACCTCCATCAGCTCCTGCTCGGCGAGCTTTCGACTCCTGTCACACTGCTCCAGCGACGCCCTCAGCTCCTCGTTCTCCGCCATCATAAGATTGTTGCGGCGCTCTATGATAGCTAGCTCCTCTTTTAGGTCCTCCTGATGTTGGAGGGCTTCATCCAGATGGACCTGGGCGTCCTGAGGATGGAGGCAGTAGTTCTGGGATTTTAAACATCATCCCGGAATTTTTAACCAGAACAGAAAAAGTTCCCACGCACCTTCAGCTGAGTCTGCAGATTTCTCAGTTGCTTGGTTGCCTCGGCTGCCTGCCTGTTGGCGTGACCCAGCTGTATCTCCATCTCGTTTAGATCCCCTTCCATCTTTTTCTTCATCCGGACAGCGTCGTTCCTGCTGCGCGTCTCTGCATCCAGCGTGATCTGCAGACAGTCCACAGTTCTCTGGTAATTCCTTTTTAGCTGGTCGATTTCTTCGTCCTTCTCTGCCACCTTCCTCTCCACCTCTGACTTGATCTGGTTCAGCTCCAGCTCAAGTTGCAGGATTTTGGCCTCCTCTTGTTCCAAGGAAGACTTCAGAGAGAGAAAACAGCAATTAGTGTTGTTGTTATTTTATAAAATGTTAAAGTTTTGGGGCGAAAAAATACCTCAGCTTCCTCGAGAGCTGCCTGGGTGTCTCTCTTCTCTTGTTCGGCGTGCTTTGTGGCTTTTTCCAGCTCACGGAGCATTTTGGTGGACTGTCCAAATTGCTCGGTGATATCTGTGATTTCCTCTAAAAGACACATCAACACACTTTATGTAAAACATTGACTGCAGCCTCTCAGAATCCAAACAGCAGTTTATTTCCTGCAGAAGCCTTACGTTGAAGATTTTTATTGTCTCTTTTCATGCTCTCAAGGTGATCCAAGACTTCTTCGTATGAATTTTTCAGCTTGAAGAGTTCTGTGTTCAGCGCTCTGGACTCTCTCTGGGAGACTTCCAGATCTGATTGACTCTCCTCATACTTCTGTTTCCATTCAGCCAAAACCTGGCAGGAAGCAGCACATGTGATCAGTGTAGCCTTATGATGATACAAATGAGGACATGCTTCAAAACAGAAAGACCCACCTTGTCGAAATTCTTCTGTTTCTTGTCTAAGGTGGCATTCGCTGCGTTTGACCTTTCTAACTCAACCATGAGATCCTCGAACTCTGCCTGCAGCCTCTGCTTGGTCTTCTCCAGCGATGCACACTTGACATTTGCCGCCTCTGTCATCTCCTCGGACTCCTGCAGCCGCTGGACCAGCTTCTTCCTTTGAACCGAACATAAACTGCGTTAAAGCAGAAGAAGCCCATCAGCGCTGACCCGAGATACGCACTGTGAGGTTTTTTTTACTTCGCCTCCTCGAGCTCCTCGGTGCGCTGGATGGCGTCTGTCTCGTATTTATGTCTCCACTGAGCCACGTCGCTGTTCACCTTGGACAGGCAGCGCTGCAGCTCAGCTTTGGCCTCTTGCTCCTCCTCGTACTGCTCTCTTAAGAGCTCGCAGTCGTGACGAGATGACTGCAAACTGTGAGCCAAGGTGTTTTTTGCCTAAAGAAATTTAAAAACAAACACAAAAAAACTGCTTCATGCCTTTTAAAACTGCTTCACCGAGATGCAGTGACACTTTTTTTTTGCCCTCTGGGAACAAAAGGAACAAGCTGTGACTACAGCTGTGAATCACACTGAGTCATGACTGCAGGCAATGTTTACATTTAATATTCATGCAGCAACATTTGAATTCCTTTGAAGTCTGATTTTGGTCTCCCGACTCTAGCTGCTGTTCACCAGCTAATCTCTAACATGGCTCTATTTTTTTATCTTGAGCAGGTGTGGTACAGATGCTCCTGAAAGGAGCTGTGAGAAACAGCAAAACAGAAACAACAAAACGAGGAGCGGAAACTGGCTGTGAAGCTTTATCAAGCTGACTTCAGATTCTGTTTTTTCTCAGATCCAATTATGAAGTCACTCACAAAGATCTCACAAAGTTGGCGACACAATAATGTGACAGAACAGCTGCTAGATTTTACTCTAAACCAGTGCTTCTCAAAGTGTGTGGTAGTTCTGACAGGTGGGGTGCAAATATGCGCATCCGCTGAAAAGCTGCAGGCGCGTGTATAAGTCGACAGCTGCAATAAAGAAGTGTACTGAAAAGTGTGACCATGTGGTCGGGTCTGTCGTGCATCGATTACAGTGGTGCCGAAACCCAAGATTGGGGCACGAGAGGCTGAACCACATGTTTGCACTCTTCAGTACACTTCTTTTCAGCTACAGCCTACACACATCAACAACAACA